TGTTACTTTGTGTTTATGATTTCTGAATAGAGGCAGGGAAGGAATAGTTAAAGAACTAAGTCAAAGGACTATCTCCTGACTACTTGTTTTATAAACAAAATTTATGTAACCTTTATAAGCTTAAATTTTCTCATCTTAAAAAACTAGGGCAATAAATTCACAAACTTTGAATAAGAATTCAGTGTGAGGATGTATGCTGCTACCTGCATCTGCAAAGCCCCCCACTTCAACCACCAGGTGGCACTATGTGCCTGGGTCATCAGCTATAATTCTGTTGGATACCTGAGTTGCCTGAGATTCCAAAGGGTCCTTCCCTTGCCTTTTTAGCTATGAAATTTTCATCTTTTTCTTTAAAGCCTTTAATTTGAACAGCAGTACTTTCTGATACTAACCATTAAATGTAGAGTAAAGAGTAAGTTAGTCCTAATATTGATAACATTTTAGAGACAGATGGAGCCTTAGAGATCTGTTAGTGAAGTCAAGGGGTTGGCAAACTATGGACCCTGGGTCAAATCAGAGCTGTTATTTTTATGACCATGGAGCTAAGAATACTTTTTACATTTTTCAGTGGTTATATTTTGAAAGGTTGTGTAAGTAACTATATGATATCCTCCATTTTGCCTCTAAGCCTATAAATATTTACTATCAGGCCCTTTAAGAAAAAGTTCGCCCATCCCATCTCATTCTTTTGTCTAATACATAAGGAAAGTGAGGCCCAGAAAGAGCGAGTGACTTAACCGTGGTCCCCTAGCAAGCTAGCAGCATTGGCAGAACTAGAATTGGATCTCCTTGCTTCTAGCCCAGCACTGCCTTAATATAAAGTGTGTTTTTTTCTTTTCCTTTTAACTCTTAGCTATCACATTCTGCCCTAAGTACATTGCAGCCTCACACATTCATGTGAATTGTTCTATCTAGTGCTCTTTGGATCTTGTCCTGAAGTCAAGGGTTTTTTTCTGGGTGTAACCTCAGACCAGTCTAATGCCAGAAGTCTTTTTAGGTGCTGGGTTTTTCGTCTTAGGAAACTAGACCTATGACTGATTTTTTATTTTTAATAGTAATGCTTCTATCAAATTTTTTTTAGGTTTCAGTAACCTTCACTAATTTCTCCCATTTTTTTTCCTTTCACATGGTAGCAAACAAAAAATATACAGGATATTATCACTATACAAGGTTTACATATCAGAAGGCAAGTTTTCATTCATTAATTTGATATGTATTTGTGATGCATCTTCCCTGTATGAGCATTCTGCTAAGTGCTTCTGGAGTATGTGAACATGAATGAGACACAGACTTTTGCTTCAGCTTAAAGTAAAATAGCACCACTACTCTTCAGTGTCTTTCTAGAAGAGAACTTGTTTAAACATTTATGTACAGGATGATCAAAAGAGACCTAATCTGTGCTCTCCCATGGAGCTTTTAGCTTAGTGTAAAATTCAAAACAGTTGCCTCTTGAACAACACAGGGTTAGGGGCACTGACCCCTGCCCATAGTCACAAATCCATGTATAACTTTGATTCCCCAAAAACTTAACCACTAATAGCCTACTGTTAACTGGAAGCCTCACTGATGACGTTAACAGTCGATTAACACACATTTTGTATGTTATATGTATTGTATCCTGTATTCTTGCAATAAAGTAAGCTAGAGAAAAGGAAATGTTATTAAGAGAATCATAAGGAGAAGAAAATAAATTTACTATTCATTAAGTGGAAGTGGATCCTCATATAAAGGTCTTCATCATCATTGAGTAGGCTGAGGAGGAGGAAGGGCTGGTCGGGCTGGTCTTGCTGTCTCTGGTGGCAGAGGTAGGTGGAGGAGGTGGAAAGGGAGGCAGGAGGGGCTGGCATACTCAGTGTATCTTTTAGTTTTTAAAAATCCACTTATAAGTGGACCCGTGCAGTTCAGACTGTGCTGTTCAAGGGTCCACTGTGTTTCCTTTTAGACAGTGATCATTTGTGATCACACTAAGTGTCAGAAACCTCAAAGTGTAAGAAATCAGTTGATACCCTCCTAAATACTGTGACTGAGAGATTTAGCTGAAGGGAAAATAGTATTTATATTAATAGATATCTCAAGTATCTCTGAGCAATAATTTTTGTTACCACAGTACTCTTTTGCGGGGGAACTAACTGATTATAGAGAGATATCATCTGTAAATATTATGTGGGTACTGTTTGTTTGTTTTTTTTAATTAAAGTAGCTTAGGGAACTATAGAAAACTATTGGAAAACCCTTCTTTGA